GCAAGAGGAACCCTTGTTGAGACATAGAACAAAAGAAGTATCACATATACACAGGTTAGCTAGCAAAAATGATGGGTGAGCATCTATCGTGTGAATAAAAGATTTATCAGTACTTTTGGCTATTTTTTTTTTAACTAAAATTTTTACTTAATTTTTTATTGGATTCTTTATATGTTGCTACTTTTAAAAGGTGATATTAGCCTTGGGCTACTGAACAACTGGTATTTATTTACAAGGTTGGTAGAAGTTGGACATTCCTGAAAATTAAGGAAAAGGTGTTCTCAATGCCTATGTGCAATAGTGTTAGTTTAGAATGCTAAGAGAAAGTGAGAGGATAAGAATCTACATCAATGGAGGAAAAGCTCTTAATTCAATTCTATCTGTATATCATAGTGCAGTTGTTCTCAAATTGTATCTGTAACTCCTAGGAACCTGTTAGAAATATTAATTCCTGATCTTCATCTCACTCACCCATCACCACCATCAGATTGATTCTGACTCACAGAAAACCTATAGTATACAGTAGAACTGTTCCCGCCGAGTTCCCAAGGCTGTAAATCTTTACAGAAGCAAGTTGCCATGTTTTCTTCCACTGAGTAGCTGATGGGTTTGAATCATTGAACTTTTGGTTAGCAGCAGAGCCACCAGGCCTACTGGTCTTCACCCCAGACCTACGAAATCAGAAACTCTGAGCCTTCCAAGTGATTTTGATGCAGCTCAAGTTCAAACACATTTGCCATGGTAGCAGAAGCCCTGGTGAAGCAATGGTTATGTGCTCAGCTGCTAACCAAAAGGTTGGTGGTTTGATCCCACCAGCTGCTCCACAGGAGAAAGATGTGGTGGTCTGCTTCTGTAAAGATTTACAGCTTTGAAAACTCTATGGAGCAGTTCTATGGTCTTCTATAGGGTCACTATGAGTTGGAATAAACTCAATGACCATGGGTTTGGTTTGGCCCATGGTAGCTAAGAACATCAATACTTGTATAGGTGCTTCTCCCTTACAAGCTGATGGGAACTTGGGGAAGTCATTTAGCCTCTGTGTGTGTCAAGTTTCCTCATTATAGGGATAAAGCAGTATTTAATTCAGGGTTGGTGTAAGGGTTAATTGAATTCACATATGGAAAGCTCTTAGTGTCTGGCACTGTTATCTATTCATCATCATCATCATCATTATTGTTCTCATTTATCTCAATCATTATTATTATTTATATGCATTATTTCCACTTTGGACTACTTCTGGTTCTATTTTTGCTTGGTATTTGCATATATTTCTTCTAACTGGTCACAGACTTTCTGATCATTTGGATTCCATTTCACTGTGGTTGGTTTCTTTGATCATCTATTCTTGCAAGAACCTTTTTCTTGGATAGAATTCTTTCTTTGCTGAGGATGGTGATGGTAATTCCCTTTCCATTTCCCCCATTCTCATTGTTTTTTTCCCTACACTGGGGGTGTAGTTTTTACTTCCATAGTGATACTGCCTCAGAAACCCAATGTTCTGGTTACCTAGTGCCACTCTGACAGGAATATACCACAAATGGGATGGCTTGAACAAACAGGAGTTTATTCTCCTACAGCTTGGAGGCTTTAAGACCAAGTTCAAAGTGCCAGGCTCTAGGAGCTCGGTGAAACCCCCTCAACCATGGGGTTCAGCTCTGCCTTCTGCTCCCAGCCCTCTGGAGCTAGAAGGTTTTCTTCACTCAGACTGCTGCTAGCTGCTGAGGCTGACAAACCCAAGGCTGACAAGTAAAAAGGCACAGTCCTGATGTTACCAAACCACATGGCAGGCCATTAATTTAAGTCCATTGTAAGTCCCAAGGTTGGCAGAGCATGGCAGGCTGCTGAACAGCAACACAGCTACATGCAGGGTTCAAGCATGCCATGAGCTAGAGACCATTCCCCAAGGCTTCTCCTTACATACAGGAAGCAGACCACATCCCTAAGACAGCTACTCAGCTGCTCACAGTAGATTCCACCATGGAGTTGATTACCAGTCTCATCATGGGGAATACTACATCCAGCTGCCCAGCCACTCAACCAGATCCAGCCAAGTTGACACACAAACTTAACTTCCACACCCAAGGAGGGGTCGCTATGAGTCGGATGCAACTTGGTGGCAGTGAGTTTGATTTTGAAACACTTTCTTAAATATGCTTTCTATTCACTTATGTTTCAAAAATAGATTTGTTTTCTTTCCTTTATTTCCAGAATATGAGTACTGTGTAGCATAAACTCTAAAAGACTTCTTGGTATATATCTTTTATTGGCTTGAAGTAAGAGAGGGTAAGATTGACCTCTCTCTTCAACAGTGGCAAATACTTCACTTCAACAAAGATATTTCCATTCTAAAGGTTACAATGCCAACCAACTAGTTGGGAATAATATAGTGAAAACTGGAGAAATGACTATTATTTTCAGAGAGTAAAGAAAACTAATGGCTTTTACTAATAGTTTATTTATGGGATTATTGTTGTGTGCCCCTGAGTTAATCCAACTCATAGAAACCCTCTAGAACAGTGTAGAACTGCCCGCATAGGGTTTTCTGGCTTGTGATATTTACAGGAGCATATTACCAGGTCTCTCCTCCCTCAAAGCTGCTGCTGCGTACAAACTGCCCACCTTTTGATTAGTAGCCAAGTGCTTAACCATTGTACCACCAGGGTTCCTTTTATTTATGGAGTTAGGCCAGTGTAAGTAGAAGAGCATACTCTTTTACAATTCTTTGCATCTTTGACTTTTGGAAAACTGTTACTGTGTTCTAACATTTTAGAAGTTAAGCCAGGTGGATTGCGGGATCACTAAGGAAAAAAAACAAATCTCGACGGCACGTAACAAGAAGTCAGTGCATAAAATTATATGAAATAAGTGTATCAACAGTGTATTTCATAGAAGAAGTTTGTTGAGGAATAAAATGCTATGAAGTAAAAACATATAATGAAATGTAAATAATAAAACATACAGAAAAGAATAATGGATTCCAAGAGGAAGATGCTAGGCAAGATGAAGAGGTCACCAGCCAAACTTTCTTGGAAAACATGGGAAGAATCCAGTCTCTCTAAGGTTGATGAATAGGAGCACTTTAACTATAAAAGAGTAATTATTGTAGCTAATTGGTTGATGAGAAAAGTGTGAGGAATGTTATGGATTGAATTGTATCTCCCAAAAGACAGGTTGAAGTCCTAACACCAGTTCCTGTGAACAAGACCTTGTTTGGAAATAGGTCTCTGAAAATGCTATCAGTTAGGTTAATAATAGGTCATACCAAAGTAGGGTGGGTTCTACTCCTATCTGAGTGATATCCTATAAAAGAAGAGAACAGACACAGACAGAAGATCGCCTTGTGATCTAGATGCCAAGGAATGCCTGGGGAAGCTAGAAATCAGGAAAGAGGAAAAAAAAAAAAAAAAGCAATAATCTTCCCCCAGAGCCTTCACAGAGAGAGCATGGCCCCACTGACAACCTGAATTAGGACACCTTGCTTCTAGGAGCTCTGGTGGTATAGTGGCTAAGGCATTTGACTGCTAACCAGAAGGCTGTTAGTTCAAACCCACCAGCCACTCCTTGGAAAACAGATTGGGCAATCTACTTCCTTAGTGATACTACCTCAGAAACCCAAGGAAGGGTCAACTATGAGTCAGATCTGACTCCACAGCAGTGAGTTTGGTTTTATTTTTGGTTTAGCCTCCAGAACTGTGAGAAAATAAATGTCTGTTCTTACAGGCCACCCAACATGTGATAGTTACAGCAGCACTAGGAAACTAATATGTGTTTGTATGTGTGTGCATGTAACAGAGAGGTAAAAATGTGTGTGTATACAAGTATCCATCCATTCGGGCAACCTCCCACTGCATATACATCCATGGTTGCATAATTTTTTTTTTTAAAGGAATACCAACTCTCTTTTTGTTTATAATTTCCCCCTAATGGTTTTAAAGATCCCAACCCCAGACTCTTGCAGCACTGAACCATGGGTGGAATACAGGCAGGTGAGGCAGAGGAGGTTGTTCAGGTGTAGGCTGTCAGGGTTTGTCCCTTGAAAAGGTGGGTGGGACAGCAGGCAGAGCTGGGCATGCTCTGCTCTCTCCCTTCTTGCTTCCCTCAGCTCCTTCAGCTGTCGTTTCAGCTGCTACTGCTGCCTGTCCATTCCTCCAGCTCTGCCAGCAGCTCCAGCAGCAGCCTGGTCAACACGGACATCTGGAAGTGACCTCCCAAAAGGTTTTACTATGGTGTTCCCACAAAATCCAAATCACGTAACATCTTATCTCACAGAACACAGTATGGACATGAAGCAACACATACCTGTGTGTGTGTGTAAAACTTAAGAAGTGTTTCAGAAAAGCAGGATACAAAAGAAATCACAGCAGGTTATATTAAACCTTGGAGGCTTAAGGGGGGATTTTGTGGCTTACTGACAAGCACACTAGCTTTCAAAGACTTTGGATGCCTTTTACCATCAACCAGCTATGTGATGACGATAAGTCACTCCCAACTCAACTTCCTTATTGTAAAATGTGTGTCAATTGAAATGGTTTCAACAGGCCTTTCAACTCTAACATTCTGTGAAGCAACCTTAATAATGCATTTCCACAGGCGGTAAAAATATTCTAAACTCTTCCCTTCCAGTTGCCACTGTTTACTTCCTCTGCACTTCCCCTTCCTGCCTCCCTGTTTGCTGGTCTGCTCACAGCGGGCCTCAATGGGGGTGGGGTAACCCACTCTTTCCAGCAGGCTTTACAGTTGAGCTCCCTCGGAAATCTATAGTGAGGATTCTGGTTGGGGGTTCAGTTTAATTTTTTAAATATTTCTTGAGGCTTTATTCTATGCACCATGCCAGATTGCCAGGGACAGGGTCAGACTCTAATCCACGGGGAGGGTGGTGTGGGTGGAAGGTTAATGCCACTGTTAGAGGGATGCTTAAGGGCTAGTTTCATGGAGATGCTCTCACTAAACACTTACGAACACCACATGTCCCTCTTTCTTTCAGGCAGTAGCGGAACTCCATGGTAGCCAGGTGGGTGAAAGGGAGCGAGGACATTCCATCTGCCTTAAGGAAGACAACTTCTGACCTGCTGAGTGCTGGACCAGGTAGTAAAAGATTCTGACATTGAGAGGGAGGGAGGACAGAGCAAGCCAACGCACGTTTAGAGTATTGTCTACCTGCTGCCTGTTTTCCACAGAGAGATACTGAACCCAAGAGCCAAAAATCCCTAGGTGTTGTCCCATGTATAACCATCAGACCTGAGAGGAGGTGCTATTGGTGTCACCAACCCCAGCGCTAACCAGTTAAATCAGTTGTCATCAATTCTGATGCATGGAAACCCCATGTATGTCAGAGTAGAATTATACCCTATAAAGTTTTCAATGACTGATTTTTCAGAAGTAGATCACCAGGCCTTTCTTCCAAGGCACCTCTTGGTAGACTTGAACCTACAACCTTTTGGTTAGCAGCCAAGTGAGTTAATCATTGGCACCAGAGAGGGATGCAGAAATACAGCAAAGGAGCTTTTAGCAGAGAGAGAAGACCCAACCCATCCCAAGCTTGGATCATTGCCCCTTTGAAAGAGAGTTTCAAACAGAAGCTTCGTGGCACTGCCTTCATGTAAACAGGGCCAAGTCTTCCAGAACCTGGCGGAAGGCTGAGCTTGGAGCTTTGCTTGTGCCCACGGGCACTTGAGTATAGCTCAGACTCAAAAACTTAAGCCTCTGTTTTTATTTCAGTGGATTGAATGGCATGCACTTTCCCCTAGAAGTTTCCTTTAAAAAAAAAAAAAAAAAATGGCATGCAGTTACTTGTACCTAAGCTGCATTTGTCTTCGGCAGGGCCAGTGCTCCAAGCTTGTCTGTGCATTAGCCAGTTAGGTGTTTTGTTTCCAAAGCTGCATTGTGGTTGCTTTCCTTTTGCCTACTGAGAAGTGCTTCACAGGGCATGATAAGGCCCATGCTCACCAACTATATCCTGTATAAGTGGAATGGACTTCTCTGAGTTAAAGAAATTCTGAATAATTTATGGCCCTCTTTGCAACAAAAACAAAAAAGTGGCTTTCCTTTCCAAGGAAAAATAATCATTTCAAGGAGAAGCATTTGATAAATGACACACTTGTATCAATGTAACAGGAAAATGAAAATGCCCAACAGATCTGCTGTATCCTGAACAGGCGTTCGTCCTCCATAGATACCATATCAGCTTCCTCTGAATCTTGAAGGGGATTACCTAGGGGATCACTTTCAAAATGTCTATTGTGATAATGCTGCTGTAAGAGCAAAGTTGCTTACGTGAATCACAGACTACTGGATACCAGTTCATTTTTAGACAGGGGAATTTCTTTCATCCTTAAAATACCAAGGAGGTAAAAAAAGAAAAAGAAAACCATCCTAACTAGGTAGAATTGCCCAGTAATCATTCAAATTATCTTTTCAAGGAATGTAGGGGCTATTTGTCTAAGTCATCAGGCAGGTACTATAAGATGCTTGGTTGCCCAGAGCTAGGTTGTTCCTTTCTGTTAATTCAAGGCAGAGCTTTTTCTGGGGCTGAACGTGGGAGTCAGGACCTCTCTGGGTAGGTCTTTTCTATAACAGTGGTAGATGTTTCCACTTATTTACTTTTTCATTTGCTCTTTAAAATAGATTCCTCATGAGGCTCTATTGAGCTCTAAATAATTAAGGCAAAAAGAATGCCTGTGCATGAATTGTCTTACCTAAAATAATATATTGGTAGTACTTTTCTAAGAATAACTAGCATATCGATAGAGTAATTCATAAAGCTTAATGATTCACTGTATGTTTGTTTTCATTTATTTGATAAATTAGTGTTCTCCATCCTCACCATTGTCAGGGTCATGACTTTCTGAAGAGGTCATGAATTCTAAATTATTCATTGGTTTAGGGGGTCAAGTGAATTGCTATTACAGAGGATGTCAGCCTGAGTTTTAAAAAATTGTATTAATATTGTCCATTGCTATATTCTGAATTATCTTCTAGGTGGTAGATTTTATTTGTATCAGTACTGGTCCTTTATGCAATTAAATTGTTTTTCTGATTTTCTATAATGGGAAATCTATGATAGAGATGTGGATATAGGTATATGTTTGTAATTCACTGACATATGTGTGTAAGAGCAGGCTATCACAAGAAGTATGCTATTGTTTTTGAGTATGAGGCATTCTATTGACACTTTATATTCATTATCTCATTAAATCATCACAAAAAATCCTGAGAAGTAGGCTCTATACCTATTTTACAGGTTACAGAGGTGATATCCAGGGAGATTAAATAGCTCTCCCAGGGTCTCGCAGCTAGGAAATTAGAGTCAGTATTCAAAGCTATACCTGCTTTTCTTTAACATCTACCAGTTGATTTGTGTTGGAATCAACTCATGACAACTGCATGTGTATCAGACAAAAAAATGTGCTCCATCAGTGTTTTAAGAAGTTATTTTTTCAAAGACCACCACGTCTTTCTTTTGAGGTGCCCTTGGGTAGACTCAAACCTCAAACTTCTCAGTTAGTAGTCAAGTCCATAATCATTTGCATCTCCTAGTGACCCCAATAGGAGTTCTGGTAGTGTAGTGCCTAAGGCACTTGACTGCTAACCAGAAGGCTGGCAGTTCAAATCTTCCAGCCATTCCTTGGAAGGAAGGTTGGGCAATCTACTTCCGTAGTGATACTGCCTCAGAAACCCATGGAGGGGTAGCTATGAGTCAGGTCCAACTCGACGGCAAATAACAACAACACAACAACAACAACAACTCCAATGCCTACATTGTCCTTACTGTACCTTTCTGCCAACCTCAAGCACAAATCAATTACATTCAGAATTCTATGACTTCTGTCTCCTCTTTCTCTTAACAGTGTACATATATGTTCATACTTATTTCACACAGATTATTCTATTGCTGTTTTCTAGATATTCACTCTTATTGGAGTCTTTCTTTGTCCTTTCTTTAGGTGGTTCCAAGAACATGGCCATGGACACCATTAACATTAACATGTCCAGTGATCCCCTTGTGAAGCATACTGCTGGAGCTGAACTCAAGACCAACAGACCCAGAGTCATGTCCAAAAGTGGACACAGCAATGTGAGAATTGACAAAGTGGATGGCATATACCTACTCTACCTTCAAGACTTGTGGACAACAGTTATCGACATGAAATGGAGATACAAGCTCACTCTGTTTGCCGCCACTTTTGTGATGACCTGGTTCCTCTTTGGAGTGATCTACTACGCTATTGCATTTATTCATGGGGACTTAGAGCCAAGTGAACACACTTCCAATCACACTCCCTGCATCATGAAAGTGGACTCTTTAACAGGGGCATTTCTCTTTTCCCTGGAGTCCCAGACAACCATTGGCTATGGAGTCCGCTCCATTACTGAGGAATGCCCCCATGCCATTTTCTTGCTGGTGGCTCAATTAGTCATCACAACCTTGATTGAGATCTTCATCACAGGTACCTTTCTGGCCAAAATTGCAAGGCCCAAAAAACGAGCTGAGACCATCAAATTCAGCCATTGTGCCGTCATCACCAAGCAGAATGGGAAGCTGTGTTTGGTGATCCAGGTGGCCAACATGAGGAAGAGTCTCCTGATCCAGTGCCAGCTCTCTGGCAAGCTCCTGCAGACACACATCACCAAGGAGGGAGAGCGGATACTCCTCAACCAATCCACTGTCAAGTTCCACGTGGATTCCTCTTCTGAGAGTCCCTTCCTCATTTTGCCCATGACGTTCTACCATGTGCTAGATGAGACAAGTCCTCTGAGAGACCTCACACCCCAAAACCTAAAAGAGAAGGAGTTTGAACTGGTGGTTCTCCTCAATGCCACTGTGGAATCCACCAGTGCAGTCTGCCAGAGCCGGACATCTTATATCCCAGAGGAGATCTATTGGGGTTTTGAGTTCGTGCCTGTGGTTTCTCTTTCCAAAAATGGTAAGTATGTGGCTGATTTCAGTCAGTTTGAACAGATCCGGAAGAGCCCAGACTGCACTTTCTACTGTGCAGATTCGGAAAAGCAGAAACTTGAGGAGAAGTACAGGCAGGAGGATCAGAGGGAAAGAGAACTGAGGACACTTTTGCTGCAACAGAGTAATGTCTGATCTCAGTGATGTCATCTCAGTTGACTCTGCAAGCTGTCTCCCCATCAGAGCTCCCTTTAAACTCAAAGGAAAAATGAACATGGGTAGACTCATTCTAAAAAAACTGCACAGACAGATGAAGTCAACATTTTCCTTTGATCTGGTGCCTAAAGAAGTATTTCCTAAAGACATTCTGTAAATGCTTCGTCTGAAGTGAATGGTCAAAATTCAAATTTTTGATAATGGGGCTGTGTTTAGGAAAACTTGATGTAAAGCAATTTAAAAAAAATATATCATTCTGTATGGAGAGACCTTTAGCAAAGCCTATATTGAAAGGAAATGCATTTCTATCCAAGAATATCAGCAATAATATAAGGTATTTATTTAATCCAAGTATCAAAGACATTAAGCCAAGGGTTGAAATATGGTTCAATATTCATTTATATTATGGCTTTAGAGCATACATTTTTTTTTTCAAGTAGATAAAATGTTATATGTAATGATGGCTATCAGGTAATGCCTAAAAAGGATGGCAAGGGGATTCATACTCACAAAAAATAATAATTCAATTTTTACTATTCTTTAGTGGGCTAAATTGTTCAGAGTGAGGTGGATCGAATCAGGAATGAATAATTATGAAAATATATACAAATGAAGGTATGTTTTTGTTCCCATACTTTTGTTAAAATTGACATGTACTAACTAACCCATTCGCCATCTAGTGGATTATGACTCATGGTGACCCAATGTGTGTCAGAGTAGAACTGTGCTCCACAGGGTTTTCAATGGCTGAGTTTTGGAATTAGATTGCCAGACCTTTCTTCCTCTGGGTGGATTCAAATCACCAATCTTTCAGTTAGCAGCTGAGTGTATTTAACCATCTATACCACTCAGGAAGTTCTGGAATATATTGTTGTTGTTGTTGTTGTTATGTGCTGTTGAGTCGGACCCAACTCATAGCGACCCCTCCTTGGGTTTCTGAGGCAGTATCACTGTGGAAGTAGATTGCCCCCATCTTCCTTCTGAGGAGTGGCTGGTGGGTTTGAACCGCTAGCCTTCTGGTTAGCAGTCAAGTAGCTCTTTTCTATTCCAACTGTGGTTCACAGACTAGCAGCATCAGCATTACCTGGGAGCTTATTAGAAGTGTAGAATCTCAGCCCCACTCATACCTACTGAATCAGAGTTGTATCTTAACAATATGCCCATGTGATTCATTCAAGTATGAGAAGTCATCTCTGGAAATATGTTCAATGGCACCTTCTGAAACCATGTGGAAGACTGGCTCTGTGGGTGCTATGTCCTGATGGCCTCCAGAGTTGTCCTTTTCTCTTCAGTTCATTATTATGAGCCAATATTATCTTTTTATTCCCTGTCTATTAAGATGAAAGCTCTGGTGGCATAGTGCCTAAGGCATTTGACTGCTAACCAGAAGGCTGGTAGTTCAAACCCACCAGCAACTCCTCACAAGGAAAATTGGGCAATCTACTTCTGTAGTGATACTGCCTCGGAAACCCAAAGAGAGGTTGGATCTGACTTGACAGCAGTGATTTGGTTTTTGTTTTGGTCTATTAAAATGCCTTGTCCATGAAGGATCTGTGTAGAATTACTCACTGACATTCCAAGAGCAAAATACAACCCTTGAGGTTGTCTCCATCAGGCTTAATGCATGGCTTGTTGATAACATTTAGCACAAAGGAAAAAACAAAGGTGTATGATAAAAGAAAATCACTCAGATGGTAAAAAGGTTATAAGGTTGGGGTTGGGCAGTGAAAAAGAAGAGGAGCTGAGGGTAAGAAACTCATAAACAAGATGACTCCTCAAAGTATGAAAAAAAAAATTGATAATCTGATAATGTGTAAAAATATGCTCAGTATGTATGTAAATAAATGCCTCTTAGCCAACTGTATTACAGAGGTAGCAGCTTGCCTCTAATTGACTTTAAGAGTCTGATGTCTTGTGTTTTGGGGGCAGAGAAGAAATCGGCTGGTTGGCTAAATATGCCAAAGGCGAATTCTCAGTTAATACAAAACAAGGTAGATCTGCATGTTCCTCAAGGAGATTGTGGTGGTGAATTTGCAAGTGGTGCCTGTGTACACAGGAATACACATAAGCCCACATACATTCACCCATACACACATGTTCTGGCTTGTCAAGCATGACTGTGGGAGTCATCAATGAAAGATATTTGCAATTAAGAGAGCAAATCCTTGAAAAACAACCATTCACATATGTTTGGTTCTCTAAGAATATGAACATCAAGACTGAGAGAAATGGGAAAGCAAACTGGATTCAGATTTTCCGTGAAATGATGAAATGACTCATATGCAATTGTCATATCTTGATTTTAGCACATTTTCAAATTTCATCCCATTACACAGAAAATGTGATGAAAATCTCTGGCTTGAAATTAAATGAATCAAATGCAGCTGTAAGAATAATGGGGGCTATGTTTGTAAAGGTTTTTATAAAACAATCTCACTGCATGGAAGGGACAATTTTTTCTTTAATTATTCAGGAGAATATTTTTCTTAATCTGTTGATAGTTTAATGACGGATTGCTTTATGTTTTCATTTTTAAAAACAAATTGTATGCTAGTGTAGTTCAATATTAGCCCTTTTTGTTATTATACTTGTTTTGTACTGTATACTGTGGTATAATCAACAGATAAAATACTGCCATAGGTATGTTTACAGCTTTTCTGTTGCACTATTAAATTCTTTTCTCAGTATTTACATTGATGCTAATTTGAATGTGGTCAAGATAAGAAATCTTGCTTCCTCATATTTTATGTGGTATAATGATATTGCATAAGATTCAGAAATCCTTTTGTATGTTCATCTAGCATATTACAGTTTCAGTTAAATTCAGAAAACTTTTTTTTGCACTACACATATCGTCTGATCTTTTGCACTACCCCCATAACAAATATTTAGAGTATCTTAAAAACCAATATGTGTTCAAGTCAATAAATCATATTATAACATACTGTTCAATAAATAGCTCTGAAGATCTGTTTGGTTTGACTTTTATCATTTCCCAAAAGCACTTACTTATTATTACTTTGTACCAAATATTGTTGCTATTTTTGGGTGCCATGGAGTCAGTTCCGACTCATAGCAATGCCATGTGACAGAGTAAAACTGTCCCATGGGTTTTCTTGGCTGTATCTTTACAGATGCAGATTGCCAGGTCTTTCTCCCGTGAAGCCACTGGGTAAGTTTGGACCACCAGTCTTCTGATAGTGGCTGAGCCCTCAACCATTCTGGCACCAAGGTTTTTATACCAAATACTTTTGTGTTAACATGCTAACAAAAGATTCAGGTAGCAAACTTGTTTTATTCTCTCTGGATGATCTTCTGATTGAAACAGTCTCATGCTCAACACCCAACCAAGGAGTAGCCAAATGATTGGAGTGTTTTGACCTGAAAAGGCCTTCTCAGCGAGAGGATTAAAAAATGTTGTACTCCATTTCGAAAACCACAAAATAAATGGCAGCAAATCAGTGTAATCTGCAAATCGTGTGTTATTTCGGCAATAAAATACATTGTATTTGCCTGGTGTCTTGTAACCAATGGCCCCAGACAGCATCACAAAGATTCACTCATTGACCTTCACAAAGATCCACCTTGGGGATGGTGTGGGAGGCAACACACTGGTTCCCTTTTTCACATCTAGGGAAAATCACAGCACAGGAGTCTTCAGAAATCTAACATAATTGGCTAAAAGTAGAAAATGTCATGCATTTGAAGATCAGCTATTGAGATGAACTTAAACAACTATTTTGTTTGATTTTTCTCTGAATGAAATCTTCAGATTAAATTGGTTGTGATTTTAATATCAAGAAAGTGTACATTAAGAAATGTCAAAAAGGACTCATTTAAAATATATATATATATTAAAGAAGTGGCACTTACATGCTATTATTTGCCCCTATAGCTTAGATCTTCAGTATGCATGTGTCATTTGGGAGGAGAAAAATGAAGAAAATAAAAAAGCTAGGTCTTTGCATTGGTAGCTGTGGTGGTTATGTTGGTGTGTCAGCTTGGCTGGGCCTGGTTAAGTGGCTGGGCAGCTGGTGGTAGTTATTCCCCATGATGAGACTAGCAATCAGCTCCATGGTGGGATCTACCACAAGCAGCTGAGTAGCTGCCTCTAGGATGTGGTCTGCTTGCTGTATATAAGGAGAAGCCTTGGGACTGGTCTCTAGCTTATGACACGCTTGGATCCTGCATTTTGCCGTGCCGTTGTTCATCAGCCTGCCATGCTCTGCCAACCTTGGGACTTACAATGGACTTAAATTAATGGCCTGCCATGTGGTTTGGTAACATCGGGACTGTGCCATTTTTTTTGTCAACCTTGGGCTTCTCAGCCTCAGCAGCCAGCAACTGTTTGAGTGAAGAAAAGCCTCCAACTTCAGTGGGCTGGGAGCTAGAGGCAGAGCTAAAGCCCAAGGCTGAGGGGGGTTTCACCCAGCCCCTAGAGCTTGGCACTTTGAACTTGGACTTAAAGCCTCCAAATTGTAAGAACAAACTCCTGTTTGTTTAAGCCATCTCATTTGTGATATATTCTTGTCAGAGTGGCACTACGTAACCAGAACAGTAGCTCATTGAATGCTCATACTAGGCCTGGTTCCATATTTTGTCATTATGGACAAAGGGTCAGACATTTGACCAAGTGGTGTGAGGAAGACTCCCAGTCCCTCAATCTCAGCTTTTATTCTTCCAAGACTTTTCTTTGCCTGTTAAACAGGTGAAATAACTTGTTTTGAATGGAGGTTATTTTACCAGAGTTTTCTGTGATGGGATTTTTTAATGAACTATATTAACATAAATCAGGTCTTAATTTCCAAATTCTGTGTGTACTTGAAAGCCAGTGCTTGATTATTTGACTCCAGATTAAACCAAAATGCCCTTAATTTTCTAAGGGAAGGGAAGACTTACAATTGAAAACTTAAATTTTCACTGTTTAATTGATTTCTTGTTGCTGTTAGCTATTGTCAAGTCATCCCTATTCATGGCAC